TCAAAGCATTGCATTGTTTTCCCGGTTTTGTCCATCAGCCGCATCCATTAATGAATGCATCCCATTATAGGGCACGACGAAACTTTTGCCACGATTTCTTCTTGAATTAAAATATATGTTCCTGAGTAACCTGGGATACTAATCATTTCTTTTTGTATATGTCTCTACTTCGACCCTTGAATTATGGAGAGATTGGGTTTTATTAAATATTGACTGAAAAGTTTCCCTATCGTAAACATAGTAAAATGAAAACTTTTTGTAAAACGTTTCATTTCATTGGCAACACTGTTTTCTTTAAATAGCTAAAATGGTTTAAAATTTCGCCCTAATGATTAATTTAATAACTTAATAATTTCGCGTGCTCTTGAATACAGTTTTCTAGCAACTGGCTGAAAAATCTGGTCCGTGGTGCTATGAAGCCATGGGGTCACCTGACTCCTGTTTTCCAGAATGTCAGCTACATGGTAAGTTAAATTGCTGATTGATTTAATAACTTCAAAGGAATCATTTGTCAAAAAAACACATATCTTAAAGGATTGGAGCTAGGGTTATTAACAACTCCCCATGTTAAGTTTTTTTTTATTTTTTAGCCAGTTACACAAGTCTTGCCTGTTTAAATATGGTCACAGTTCATACGGAATGTCTAAGTGACATTTCTACTGTCAACTGGAGGCGTGGACATGAAATTAAAAGGTGTGTCCATGCCTGTGAATAAAATGACATGTAAACCTTAACGCACGTTTTAAGTTGCAAATTAGTAACTCGAGCCTGCTCATTGTTTGTGTGACCGTCCAGAGTGGTAATCCGTCCACATGGATATTGGTTAGTTTATTAGGGTATAGACCATTACGATTTCAGATCTTGCGGATCCGGACTAGTGTAGACGACGGCATACCACGTGGATGAATGCCAATTTGCAAAACAATCCACACTAGCTATGTGTTGCTTTGACCTCATTACCGCCTAACCCTCACCATATATCAAAGCCACAGTGTAGGCTTCAACGTGTAGGTTGAGGCATAGGGACAGGGTTAGTGATAATATAGTCTAACTGTGCTATTACCAGCTTAGACTGAACCGCATATCAGATTTCGTCCATTGCAGAATGAACCAAATTAAAAAATAATTGTCGTCTATAGCAAAACTATTGGTCTGAACCAGTATTGACAGATTGCCACTGAAGACGGTAACATATATTAAAAACAAAATGTTGTTTTTGTTAATGTCTCATAGTATCATGTCAGTGTCCTTTTAAAGAACAGTCCATCCTTTGGCCTGGCGATTTTGTTTATACGCAGTGGTAATAATACGTTTCAGAAGCGTATTGCCTGAGAAAACGCATTCTTGACATGGATTCACAACACTTCAAAAGAACGACGGTGTCTGGTCGAAACTGTATGCCGTGGACGCGTGCCTACAAAGTCTATATGGTTTCTATCAGAAGAGATATTTTTGTCCCCGTTCCTACGCTTCGTCATATTTAGAACAGAACAACAAACGTGCCTTTGCCCGGCAAACGAGTCACAGAGAGTGACACAAGATGCCGAAGTGTCAGGAACCCATTCATGCCTGCCGGTTCCAACGAAAATTTCCCGTTGGGGCCCTATTGCTATGTGGCGGATGATTCGTCTTTTGTGGAACACTGCTACACGAGCTGTGAAGATTTAGGTAAGTCCAATGGCGCGAATTTGCTTCAGATCTGCCAAAATAATGGTAGGTATAAGTAGAACAAAAATAGTACTTTCTAATCATTGCAACGTTCCCTCTAATTCAAACGATGGTGCTCGCTCTGCCAAGAGGAAACAATTTCGAAATGAGGTAGTGCATGCAAAGATACACTTGGGTAGCATAGATTTGAAAAGTCTAGTCCTGAGCGACTGTTCTAACAATAAATCCCCTCTTGAATCAAAAATCGATAGATTAAAGAGGCAGCAGTGATGGAAGGTTGATTAACTGACTTTTAAGAAGATTTCTCCACTTCTTTCAAAGCCAATTGCTGTGCACTTAATGCAATATGCTCCTTAAATTTTGAAACTTCAGCTTCTGTGCTCGATGCTGAAATGTCGGAATAAAGGAGTATGCTGTGTTATGCCCAAATTCATTTACATTGGTGACGTGGAGAGCATTATAACCTTGGCGTATATAGAAAATCAAATTTCGAAATTATTTTAAGAAGATTTGTGTAGAAAAACAAAATATTATGACTGATGCATCTGATAGGTATAATTAAGTATCGGAACCCAGTTAAGGAAGTGGTCTCTACGTGGGCCAAAGTGAATGTGCAAAAGTAGCCTTTGGGCAGTCCTGCGAACATCGAAAATATTTGGCTTGCACAAGCCGTGGAAAGTGACCAGTATCAAGCTTACTTGCTCACCGTTATGCGGAGTCAGCGTTGCAGATTCTGAAGTGTTAATCAGGGAAACACACGTTACTCTTCGCCATTGTAATGGCCTCTGATAAAAGCACTGCCCAATGCTTCTTCTTGCCGTCGAAGGTCTAAAAGGAGGGAAACTTATTCTTGGGAAAGAGGCAATGAAAACCTGACGCCGCCTGATAAAGGGTGTCATCAAAACGGAAGGAACAGATGCATTGCCTGGATAGTCAAAACCTGTGAAATCAGGCGTGTTAAAACTTATGCACTCGCATCGCCGTTCTTTAAGGATGAGGATACGCCTGAAAATCATCAAGATTACGAGCGCAATGTAAGGTTTGTCCCTGAATCAGCACTCAGATTTGTCGAGATAACTATGAGTTA